TTGAAGATGGCTGTTGGGAGAGCCTCCTTCACCTCTCACATTGTTTCTTTCGGATCTCAAGGAAACTGAGTTCAGAGTATATATATATATATTGTTTTTATGCACAAGAGATATGTCGGATGTGGGAAAGTCGGCCAAAGAGAAGCACGACAATGATCTTCAAGTAAACCTCAACTGAAATGTTGTTGCAAAATGTATTTGTGTATTAGGTTTTTTCTACTTGTAGCACATCGTTTTGATGCTGGGATATGTGAAAATTATTTCTAGGGGCTTCAACCGATCAGAAAATAGAAAAATGAGGACTATCGTCCGCTCATTGTTGCTGGTTCCCCATTTTTTGGCTGGAAAAAAACTCCCACCTAAAAACTGATCATCAATCATATACTGTAGATTGATTTTAATATAACTTATCTTAAAATCATATATATATATCAATCCAGAATATATATATATATATCCCATTATATCCCTACATTATGACGGTCAACGATTTTTGTTGATGATTGTGACATATCATGCCCCCCATTACGGCTGTTAAGCCCAGCAGCCCAGCAATCTACGCGCCGTTTTCGGAAGGACTCGCCTTTCGTGACGGTCACCGGCAGCTTTCGCTCCTCGTTCTCTTCCTGACGGAATCTTGGGAAAAACGATGGAGTTCTCTGAATTTTTTGGGGAAACAATTGGACTTGATGGCTTGATAGCCACATTTTGAGACCCAGCTCTTCAGAGAATGGACGCACCGGTCTCTCCATAGGGTACTGGACTCTCCAGCAGGGCAGAAAATGGCTCTGATTTGCAGATCTCAATCGTTTCAACCAGGGATCGTATCAAATGATCCCAATCAACGAGGGTCACAACAAGCAATTCCCCGGATCCCATGATAGTGACGCAGGTTTTTTTGGCTCATTGAACGGCCACGATCATGTGCAGACATGCTTGTCATTGTATGCATTGGTATACATATATAATCCCTTCCCCCTAATACCAACCCCCCTATTAATAAACACCTCAGGTAGTTTTTAGTATTAGGGGGTATTTATTATTAGGGATCCCTATTAATAAAATCAAACCCTTAATAATAAAAACTATTTTTTCCGATTTCAAAATCAATTAAATTTCTTTATATAACGCGATTATAATATTGCCAAAAATTGGATTTCGAAGCGGACCCTATGAATAAAATTAAAAACCTTAATAATAAAAACTAGAAAAAATCGGACGGACCCTAATAATAAACATCCCGGGTTTGACTAGTTTTTGGTATTAGGGGGCAAAACCCACAAATGGTAGGTTTATGTTTAAATTGTTTTCTAAAGGGAATCAATTAAAAATCAAATTGGCCAATCTGAAATTTTCCAAAATTAGAGATGGACCCTAGTTTTTAGTATTTGGGCGGGGTTTAGTAATAGGGGGAAAGGATTATATAATACTATGTAATATTACATAATTGTATACATAATATCACATATATCATATATCAATATATATCATATGTTACAGTTACATGTATATCTTCGCTATATATATATATACGAGTAGCTATTTAGAAGTGCACCGGAGCCAAGGATAAGTGACATGTCTGACATGTGTTTCGTCGGAGCGAAGAGGGGGCGTGCCACGCCGCCACGCCTCGTGCTTTTGACCCTTCTCCTCACTCACCGGACTGCAGGGCGCGGCAATGTCCTGGAGAAATATGAGAAATCGCGCCAGAGTTTGGGCATTGTACCCGCGCTGTGAATCAATGGTTAATCAACGGTTCATCAATGGTTAATCAATGGTTAATAGTGGTTGATAGTGGTTAATAATGATGATTAATAATGGTTAATTGTGGTTAATAGTGGTTGTTAATCAATGGTTAATCAATGGAAAATAATGGTTAATGATGGATATAATGGGGCATACCTTTGGATATAACATGATATACCCTCTGGTAAACTAATAGTTTGCGAACTGGAAAATGGTGATTTCTAGTGGATTTACCGACTGAAAATGGTGATGTTCCATAGCTAGTTTACCAGAGGGTAAGTTTCCCAGGTGTCTCCTCGTCAAAGGCATAGTCCAAGCCAAGGAATTGCAGAAACTTCTCAAAACATCGGATGAGATTGTCTTCGACCTGACGGATCCGAAGGCTGAAAAAAATAGCACCGTTGGAAAGGTATCTTACCACGATTTCACCAGTGGCTTTTGCTGCTACGACCCAGCCGAAACTGTGGCACCTGTGCCATGGCAAAATCATGCCGAACATTGCCATTTTAATAGGGAAAATGTATGAAAATGTGACATTCACTAATGGATTTCTATTATGGGTTTCTGATTTCTGTAACCAATGGATTTGGGAATTTAGGGGTTTTAACTGTGGCTTTTCCAAAAAACACTTCAGACCTGCTTTTCATTGCTGCTTTTGGGGGTTGCTGTGGACCACATGTCAACCACTTCAGCCCAGTTGCCATGGGGTCAATCAACATCTCTTCTTGAACCTCCGGAGTCAACACCGGAGCTTCTGGATGGTATTCCTCAGGCGTGCTACAGGGGAAGTGGTGAAACATCGAGCTGTAAACTATAGGAAAACTCTTCGAAAATGCTTCAGAAAGCGGTCTTTCATGGGCCTGAAGGTAATCAAACATGGAGGTTTTAAGATGTTTTACTGGGAACCTCATCGAAGGATTGCTGGGCGATTCAAACTAGGTTTGATTTCCAGAGGCTAAATTAAAAGATCAAGGGCTGACGAGATCCCCATGGCTGGGACTGTGACCAGTACCAGTTCATTTCACTGTCACCACCACCAGCCCCAATCAATTTTGAAGTGCTATCGCAGTTCTGGTGCTGCTCCTTCCGGCGATCCGAAAATCAACACATGGTATGTAAATGTGAAGTTCTGTATGCAATTAAGACTCGCTCTCCTCATCTGTTGGGAAGAGCCACTGGATGTAGTTGTGTTGATCTGGCAGGGACACTCTGGGCAGAATGGATCACTTTGGAATCATCGCCAATTACTGGTTGGTGGTTGACCTACCCCTCTGGAAAAATATGCTCGTCAGTGGGGATGATTATTCCCAATATATGGAAAAATAAAAACATGTTCGCTGCAACCGTGACGTTGCTCCGCGTCTGACTTCAGGTGGCTATGAAGATAAAGGTGATGTTATTACCCTAATCAACATATTGTTCAAAGGGGGTGGCGAATTTTGATCCCTTATGAAGATAAAGGTGATGTTTTTACCCCAAACAACATATTGTTCATAGGGGGTGGCGAATTTTGATCCTTCATGGAGATATAGTTGGTGTTATTACCCCAGTCAACATATCGTGCATAGGGGGTGGCAATTTTTTGGATCCCTCATGAAGATAAAGTTGATGTTATTACCCCAGTCAACATATTGTTCATAGAGGGTGGCAATTTTTTGGATCCCTCATGAAGATAAACTTGATGTTATTACCCCAGTCAACATATTATTCATAGAGGGTGGCGAATTTTTGGATCCTTCATGAAGAACAAGTTGATGTTATTACCCCACCCAAAATATTGTTCATAGGGGGTGGCAAATTTTGATCCTTCATGGAGATATAGTTGGTGTTATTACCCCAATCAACATATTGTTCATAGGCAACGGCGAATTTTGATCCCTCATGGAGATATCGTTGATGTTATCACCCCAATCAAAATATTGTTCAGAGGGGGTGGCAAATTTTGACCCCTCATGAAGATAAAGATCATGATTATGATGATGGTGATGATGATGATCATGATGATGATGATGATCATGACGATTGTAAGTGTGGAGCAACGTCCGGGTTGGGGCGAACATGTTCCAAACCACCAACCAGGCATAAGATGTATTTCTATGTTGTTTTTTAATCAGAAGGTCGGATTGCCTCACACGATGGCTCGTGCAGGATCAGGTGGTAACTTGACAAATAGACATACCAAACTTGCCAAACTGTCTCACTTGTACAGGGGTGGGAGGGTGGGCTATGATGACTCTCATGTGCACTTGCAAACCAGCTTCAACTTTATTGCAAACTAGGTTCAATGGGCGCATCCAATGGGTGTGGTCTGGGGTAATCCACAGAAGAGCCATACCATCATTTGTTACAAACAGCATACAACACATTCACAAATGACCAGATAATACAACTTACACAACCGTCATTTTCCACTCAACACACCTTCGACACAACGCGGTTGTTTCACATGAATAGGCCGCCCGCAGCAGTATCACAATCATCAGCATGACCATGTTTGTTATCAGAGCTGTGATCATCAAATCAATTTAGTCGTCATCCCCATCATCAACACATATACACAATGTCATTACCATCATCTTATTCCGCGTGTACAGCTGAAACCTTTTTTTCGTGTACAACCAAGGCCCCGATCAGAGAGGAAGACAGCATGACCCAGTGCCAACAGCATAAATCTCCAGCTGGCTTTCCCCGGCTATACCCCATAAATTGGAGACATAACCATTGGATTCTTATTGGTTATTATCCCAATTCATGAAGGTTATAATCCAATCAATCGGATCATTATTCAATAATCCAATGGTTACCCTCCAGTAAATTAACCTGACGACCCTGCCAGGGGTCTTTCAAGATGCTAGTGAAACCACTCAAAAAGGCTGATTTTCAGGGTCGAACAGTTCATTTACCAATGGTAAAACTGGTTGGTGGTTTTAACAATCTTGAAAAATATTAGTCAGTTGGGATGATTATCCCATATATGAAATGGAAACTAAAATTCATGTTCCAAACCACCAACCAGGTTATATATTTATATATATATATATATCCCCAATTGATTGGCTTCTCCATAGCTGGCATAGCAGCGGAGTTTCCGGGTTCCCAGGCTCTCCCATCTGTCCAAACTCCATGCCAAGATCGAATCCAGATCTGCACCGCCCGGTCCGGGGCCAAATCCACCTTTCTGCAGGCGATTTTCATGGGAAAAGACTTACTGGTGCTTAGTAGGGAATGAGGGAATGATCCATAATCACTAGTAATAATCATCCCATTCCCCCATTCCCATCCATTCCCTACTAAGCACCAGTAAGAAGATCTGGGAAGAGCGAAGATTCACAGGAACAACTATGGATTAACACGAGCATATTCCCACTCAGGATCCCAAGATATTGATCCCTAGTGGATGAATCCATTGTAAAAATGGGTTGATTTGCGGGTGACTGGCCATTGGATGGATTGGATTGTAACGCCCATCAATTGGGATATGAACCCTTGTAGCTATGGTTATATAATAACTTATTAATGGAACTGCTCCCCCAATCAGAACAGGGTCTCTGGCTCGAAGTTGTTTCGCGCGGAGAATTCTGGAAGAATTATATAGTCTTCTTTGAAAACATATTGCAAGAGCAGATTGTAATACTAGACCACATATGAAAAACCACTTGTCTTAGTCTTATCTGACATTCGTATCATCAAACAACCATATTATACCTAATCTTACACATCCAAAATCATGTTATAACAATCATTTCAGATATAATGATCGTATCTCCATGTTGCATTGAAACATATCTGAAATTGAGAAACTGTAGAATGTAAACGAAACTATCTAACAAATATGATACTTAAGTGAATATCATATCGTAGCCATTTGAGATATATGATATTTTAATAGATAGATCATCTGATGTGTAGATATTGTTTAATCATCTGACAGATCTAGTTTTATATTAGTCTTGAATATCATACCACCATATACCACCTGGGATCCACCGTGATCCATGAAATGAAGCGTCCCAGAAACGCAAGAAGGCCAAGAGCGCTTCCGGCGGAGGTCTCTCGGCTGCATGGGCTAAGGTGGGCCTCATGCCGGAAAAACTCTGGGATATGATAAGTATAGACCTGTTAGTATATAGATGTTCTTTTTCTTTGGGTAAGAAACATGAATGTTTTTCAGGATCTCTTCAGGGTGGGATAAGTGATTACTATGATTGTTTAGGTCCAAAAAGTGTTGGAGCCCGAGATTCACGGTGCCACTGGTCTTCCTTGATCTTTGCAGCAAATCAGTGGTGGAGAGACAGCTTGCATTTCTTTCCGTGACAAGGGAGCAAAACCTATGGAGGGATTCAAAATTTAAATGTACATAAATGTATATGTATTACGCATACGTATATGTACAATATGTATATGTTGTAAACATATGTATATATTACATATAGATTAATATCATATATATACATTCATATATCATACATGATATTATATGTATACAAATATATATATAATATTATATGTTATATATTGTTATATATTGTGTATGTACTCCGGTCCTGCGCAGAGTCGCAGAGTCTTTACAAACTCCAAGTCGCATCTTCGCATTCATGGCTGCCACCATGACCTTGGATAAAAAAAAAATAGCCATGGCTATGGGAAGATACCAACTGGTTATGGCAATTTTTATGACCTTACACTCACCAACATTATATGGAAAAACGATGGAAAATCACCATGTTCAATGGGAAAAATCACTATTTCTATGGCCATTTTCAATAGTTTACCATCTGGCTATGACTAACATAGCCATGGGAAGTGGCCCATAGGAATAGAGGTTTACCGAACTTAAAGATGGTGATTTTTCATGGCGAACTGTTCAATAACCAGAGGATACTTACTGGAACATCTTGGTAAGTGTACGCAAGTCAACACTATACCATTTGGAAACTATAATATTGTGAACTCCACACATTTGCTTGAAATACCATGTTTGTTCACCCATAGACCATTGAGATCTAAGTAGTACGGAAATCAAGTGGCAAATGTATCAGGTCACGAACGGGTTTTAGCTCGGTATCAACAGGAAATCATCCATGGAGCCAACAAAAATCAGCCGTCTTAAAATTTAAGGGACAAACCTAGAATCTGAGATGTGTCCTTTTTGGAATGGACATGAATAGACTATTTTTTTGTGGGATGTTCCCATGGAAATCAGGCACAATCATATATATATATATACCATCTGGTTATGACTAACATAGCCATGGAAAATCACCATTTCTAAGTTCGGTAAACCATCTATTTCGATTAGGGCCATCTATACCATGGCGAACTGTTAGTCATAACCAGAGGGTATATCCCATTAATATCCCATTGAATCACTATAAAATCCCATTGAACCACTATAACATCCCATTAAACCAGAGGGTATTTAAAGATTCATCCAATGCGCGCGTTTCCTCCCTCTGCGGAAGTTCTTGGCGCTCTTCGTCCGCCTGGCAGATCTTTATTCGACCAACCAAGTGCTGAAAAAAATGGTCAATTTGGGGATGGTTTAAAAAAAGTTGCTTTGCTGACATTAGTGGGATATGGATATACTGGGATATATGATGTGTAATATGTATATATGTATATATGTATATATGTACATATACATATGCAAGAGTATATGCAAGAGTATATGATCCACATGGAATTTACCGACTTTACCTTCTACAAAAATGGCAATGGCTTCGTAGTTCTGAAAATCGGTCAGCGACTGACCCCATTGGACCATCCCGCCATAAGGATATCATGGTACACACGAGCCCAACAAGCATAGCTACAGGTAGTTAAAGGCTCAGATATTGCCAGTATAGAGAGTAGTTATAGGCTATATACACTGCAACATAGCCATGCATAAACCAAGTCTAGCAGAAATATATAGTTACCATCTGGTTATTTAACATAGCCATGGAAAATCCCTTATAAATGGAGGTTAAATAGGAAAATCATAAATGAGCCATTTTCCATGGCTATGTTAGTCATAACCAGAGGGTAAATGATCGCGAGCGGCTCACCCATGGCCGCCATGGTCTCCATGGTACACGGACGTCACCCACTTTCACCAGTTGAGACAACGATCACCTCTGGATAGAGACGGCTCACTTGCCCTCAATCCGAATCCCTGACCTACCATACCTGGTTGGTGGTATCAACCATCTTGAAAAATATTAGTCAAATGGGATGATGATTCCCAATATATGGAAAGATTAAAACTGTTCCAAACCAACAACCAGATACATATCGAATCCTGCCCACGTGTCTTCATCGAATCCCATTTTCTCATTAATTTTCTTTATTCTGTTCATCATAAATGCTCCGTTGCGGCTGGTTCACTCCTGTATTAGTATGAGTCAAAAGTATTCAAAACCCTGGTACCCTGGTGTTCCTCACCAAACTGGTTCTTCTGGACTATTGTCTCCAGATCAACCCATCATTCTATGGCATGATTCATCCCGTTTCTTGCTAATTATTTATAGGATACGGAACCACGTTTGATATCTCCCAGGTCCCAGTCGAAACCCATCAGTTCACCACCTAGCTTCTCATTGCTCCTTTTCCCTCAGTTCGGTCTATTAAAATCATATTATATCATATTATATTATATCATATTACATTATATGATATTATACTATATCATTGACTATATATCATACTATATCATATTCTTATCTCTTAAAATCCAAATCATTTCGTGAACTTCCAGGCCACACCTATGTGAAGAACCGACTAAGCTTGGGATTGAAATCGTTGCTTTCTATCGGTACTAAAGATAGATTCTTTGAAACTAAAGATTTGAAACCACTCATCTTTTCACAATATATGTATATATAAATACATATACCTATATAATCCTATATATATATATTCAATCATATACATAACTCTATATATATACACATAATGTTATAGTATATATATATAAGACAGCATTTTCCCATGCGGCGCCGCCTGGGCGTCATCCCCACCTGCGAGAGATCCCCGCAGCTGCGCGAGGGCAGGCGTCGCGAGGCGCCCGAGCGGCGCGAGCCCACGCTCCGCACGGACTTCGTGGGTTTCATGGCCGGCAGACCGAAGCCTCCGCCAGGGCCAGGGCAGCCGGGACCAAGCCATGGGGGATCGGAGTGACAAAGGGTAAACACCCTGGTATAGATGGAGCATAGAAATAGATGGTTTCCCTATGATAAATGGTGATTTTCCATGGTTTTATCACTAAGGAATTGAATGAATTGAATGAATTGGATGAATTGGTCAAAATGTTCAAGACCTGACCAGGGATTTTGAGTCGGTTTTCACTATTGCTCTTTCCTGTCATTTGTTACATAGCGAACTGGAAAATCACCATTCTTCATGGGTAAACATAAATCATAAACCATCATAAATCATCGAAGTAAATGGGCCATGTTCATCCATTTTCCATTTAGCTATGTTAGCTACCCGGAGGGTCACATGTAAATTGAACCCAGGGGTAAATTCACAGAACTATGGAAAGATCCACCATGGAAAAAAGCTGGGTAAATCCACTAGAAATCACCATGTTCCAGTTCGCAAACTGTAAACGTTTACCAGAGGGTATATCATGTTATATCCAATACGGTATACCCCATTGGATCCATTGATTAACCATTGATTAACCATTATTATCCATTGATTATCCATTGATGAACAACCACTATTAACCATTGCTGATCATCAGTATTAACCACTATCAACCACTATTAACCATTGATTAACAACCACTATCAACCATTGATTAACAACCACTATCAACCATTGATTAACAACCACTATTAACCATTGAGTAACCATTGATTAACCATGGAACATCACCATGTTCAATAGAAATACTGTCGAATCATTGGGACCAACACCTGGGTATGCGGGCCGCCCGCGCCCGGACCTTCCGGCGTCTTGTCCGGCGACTTACAGGGGCTGGATCGTCTCAAAGACACCGGGGAGCCATCCTAAGAGAGAGCAGCTCCGACGCCAGGGGAATTTCAGCCCAGTTTTCGTAGTCGTCCATCGTGGTGAATGGTGGTAATGGTGGTAATATCTAATGGTTTATAGTGGTTTATAGTGGTTTATAGTGGTTTATAGTGGTTTATAGTGGTTTATAGTGGCTTGTAGTGGCTTATAGTGGCTAACAATGATGGTTACTCTCCTGTATATAAACGTTTGCAGTTCGATGTGGAAAATCCACTAATGTATGTTTACCCTAGGGTCACTGGCTTATACCCGCTAATCTAACTGAGCTATTCCCTACTGGAGTGTATCATGGTTCTTTAAGGACTCAAATGCACATCCATCCAAGTAGAAAAAATGAAGCTTGGAAGAGCGATTTACAATCTTCCTGTGTCTGAAAATTTACTGATTTACCCAAATAAACTCCTGATTTCAACAACAGAAACCAGGATCAACCATGATAAACAATGATAAACCAGGATCAACCATGATAAACCATGATAAACCATGATAAACCATGATAAACCAATAAATTTCGGGCGGTACCATTTTCTAAGACAAATCATCAGCTGGACGAAACGGCGCGGCTCGCTGATGGTGTCATTACGGGACCTCCGCGAATCAAAAAAACTGGATCCAGTTGTTGAATAATGTAGATAATATACTGTTAATAATGGTTAATATATGGTTGTTCTATGGTTTATGATGGTTAATTATAATCTGGTTGGTGGTTGAGCCCTACCCCTCTGAAAAATATGCGAAAGCCAGTTGGGATGATGACATTCCCAACTGAATGGAAAGAAAAATGTTCCAAACCACCCTCCAGAATATCCCCTTAAATGATTCCCCGTATCATTCAACCAACTGATGGTTAGCTGGGAACATGGACTCTACCAAGCATCAATAACTACAGTAAGTGTACCCTCTGGTAATTTGTTACATAGCGAACTGGAAAGATCCACCATTTTCAATGGGTAAATCCACTATTTCAATGGCCATGTTCAATAGCGAACTGTTAAAAAAATACCAGAGGGTATTTCCTTAAATGACATAGACAAATAACTTCATCAAATATCTCCAATCAAATAACTTGATCAAATATCTCCAATTCCAAACGTATCATTCAACCAACTGCTACATCATCCACATATATCCACATTTATTTGATCATATAAGACTGATTGGATCCAGCCTTTCTTTTGAACATGTTTGAAGCTTCAGTTGCAACCCCAGTAGCGGGCGAAATGCATTGGAGATGGTCCTGATATATGGGATGCCCTGGAAGACACACCTGCGACACCTGCGGAGGGTTGGCAACGCAAAATCTCCTCTCCAGGTCATCCTAGACATGCAAAAGTAAATTTTGTGAATTTGATAAATTCAAAGTGAGAAGTCAAGAACATCTAGGAATATTCAAGAATATCTAAGGGAGAGGTTATGACGTTTATGACCATCCCCCATGATCATTCTGCTCATTGGGTAAGAGCTTTGTCCTACCGCACCGACACCACCGGTAACCAGGTAACAACCAACGTTTTAGGGTGAAGTTGTAGCCAGTTCTATGCCCTCCAGTGCCCTTTGGTTATGACTAACATAGCCATGGAAAATCACCATTTTTAATAGGTAAACCATCTATAAATGGGTCATTTTCCAGGCTATGTTAAATAACCAGAGGGTAATTTGACTACGGAAAATGACCCAGGCCCAGGATGTCTGAAGAGGCCTCCATTGTGGATTTTCCAGCCAGCCATGTTTGATCAATCATCCCCTTGAAATGTACAGAAGTGTACGAAAGTTACAGTCGAATTACAATACATTAAAAATACATTTTTTTGGATTACTTAGATTGTTCTTGTCAAATTGCATTCACCCTACTTTAACTTGCGATTTTCATCCCTATATATATATATTTATATACATATGCTATTTATATTCCAATGATATATCCGAAAATAAGTAATATCTATATATAAGAATACATTTAAGATATTTAAATATCTATAGATACCGGGGGAATGTAATCCCAAGATATTTATATAGATATTAAAGTTATATTCCCACGGTATCTACAAAGCGCCTCACGTTCTTCCTCATCCGACTCCTCTCCTTGGCGGCGAAGCCAGTGGACTGACACCAAGAGACAGTCATCAGTTCATATGCAGTTATATATATACTAGTATATATAGATATATAATATTACAATATATAAATGATATTACAATATATAAATGATATTACAATAAATAAATGATATTACAATATATATATATATATATATATATATATCGATATTATATACATTATATATTATATTATATCTCTATATATATGTTTTTCCATTCCTTTATATACAATATCCTCACGAGTTTTCCCATGGTTTCTCCCCATTGACATTCTTCCCAAGCATCCAATGGCATCGGCCATGGCAACTTTGATGGTCATCGCTTGACCCATCTTCATGAGCCTCAAATCCACATGGATCCACCCCGAAGTTGATCCATTTAAAATTGGCTGATATATATATATATATATATATTTATTTATGTATGTATGTATGTATGTATGTATGTAATTATTTTTGGATTTATTATACTAAATTGGCTGACCCATTTCATATATATATATGTATATATATATCAGTTGATGGATATATATGTTTTTCAATGGGTCAACTAAATTCGTTTTCACTGAGTTTAAAAGTTGACCCATTTAAAATCCAATCGAAACTTTTGGTGTTTTTTTATTAATTAATTCTTTAACTAAGTAAGTACTTTATCAGGTGCCCTTTGGTGATGACTAACATAGCGGACTGGAAATGATAAGAATGATGATTTAACGAAGTGAAATTCATGGTGATTTTCCAGTTCGCTACGTGAAATCGTGAAATAACAAGACGGTATATAGGACGACACAAAGATGGGTTTGATTTCCAGAAGTTTGTTCAAATAGAAGATATATAATATATGTCTCAGGTCTCCGATAATTATGGCTAAATGCTTCTACAATAGAGGTAAAGATGATACATATATAGCCTATAGCACAATTACTGGGCTGGGCCAGTGGGTCAAAATATGTTTCTTTGTCACAATAGCAGTAGTTGGGTAAACCATAGCATAGATGTGGAAAACCCATCAGGGACTCCTACGGTGGGTGGAAGAAATCCTGCACCACCTCTATAACCTTAGATTTGCTAATGCATAACTTGTACCCCCGCACCACCAATCTCAATGTTGAATGACATGTTGACAGGTTTCGCGCTAGCTGCCCAACCTTCAAATCAGAGGAGCCGCAGTGCTGATCCCCCAAGGGTTTCCGGGCATTTTTGGTGGAAAGATGTGGAACTGATGAACTCTGTGATCTCAGTGCTACAACTTGTGATTTGGCCTGAAGCAAGACTTTGAAGGAACTTCAGATAGATCTTAAAATGATAAAGATTGATAAAGATTCGCGGTATTGACACGCCACCTAGCGGTGGACTTTTGACCCTTCCTGGGGCCAGCAGGACTTGACTCGCTTCAGACATAAAGGGGTGAGGGGAATGCTGTGGGGAGCATCGAAGGCTTTGAACAGCATTCAAAAGGCACCATAGATTTGTGAACATCTAAAATCCCAAAGTATACTCTCAAGATCTCTCAAGGTTGGTAGTTGGTACTGGTAGGTCCTTTCAAAGCTGAAAGAAGAGTTGCAAGTCAAAATTGTTGCTGACTAGATCTCTTGTGGATCGGTGCCGCAACCACAGCAAATTCAGCAGACGCTGGTGATGGGGAAACAGCGCGGCCTGGAGAGTCAGCTACGACAAGGTCGAGATGGGTGTTGTTTTTCTTGGGAATCCCATAAAGCAGATGTTTTTCCCATATGAATATTTCCGGCCATCGCCGAGTTGGAGGCAAATGAAGATTTGGATGTCAAGATAGTGAAGAGGATACCATCTTGACATCAATTTCTAAACATTCTGTATGTCTCTGGATAGCACCAGACGCTTGTATCAGTGCACTACCAAATCAAATGCCTACAGAAAATACCAAGAACACAAAAAATACCTTGGGTCCATGCGTCACCTAACTTGAGTATCTAAGCAACACCCTTAACAAACTAATCCATCCCTATCCTTAATTGTCCTCATGTTTTTCATTGTGCTGATTGTACCTGAAACACAACATCAAAAAACATCGTATCTTTATCTTCCAAACATCTTGGGTTGTCGTCAAGTGAAGCTTGTTGAAATGACAGTATCATGATCATCACTCAGCGGTTTGTCTTGAGGCAACTACACAATGGTCAACTACCACTAGCGCACAGCATTGCCCGAAGCCAAAGGTCATTGAACTCCTCTTTCAGCGCTGGGGCACCTAGCGGAACTGGCCACCTGCGGCTGCTCACCGGCTGAAATGATGGAGGCTCCAGGTCAAGGTAACACCAAGCACTACAGGCTGAAATTCACTGAGCCTACACATTGGGGTGGAGGTTCCTACGAATGCATCTATACTCGCTTGCCTCATCCCATGTCCTTTGGCACCTGCATCATGTTCCAGTGGAGTGGGCATTTCAAAGATGTCTTAAACTGGGGGACCCCAAGCCATGATTTCCAAGAAAATAATCATTTGCCATCTGGAAGACTGACTGTTGGATCAATGCCGACCCCTTAACAACACACTCCTGCATCAGTTCAGCAGGCATGGTCGCTCTCCCCACTTTGCCACCTGCCATCAATTCCAACCACTAGTTTGTGTACTGTGACAGTCCAACAATCCAACCTGCTTCCCGAGCAGACTTTCCGACACCTTGACCTGTAGAAATGTGTTTCATGAACTGTTGACTTCCAGACAACAACGTGGGAAGATATGCGAAGAATTGCGAAAATCCCAATGGCCAACTGCAATAGTTTTAGAGGAAGGGGAGGTAATACGATCAAATTGCTCAGTGAGGTATATTTGTGAACAGCCTGATGAGGAACAACAACCTGCAGATGCTTGGACATCCCAGCAAACATTGGACACGTTTTGCTGCTCAGCTTTGCACAATGGCTCTCGCGAGATTACTCCTATCCTGCGTTTCGGCTGCCACATAGTCTGCAAAATCTGAGAGTAAGTAATGATCCGTCATGATCCGTCGAGAAAAAGAATCAAGAACATCATGCTGAAGGTTGGTTCAAAGAATGACAGGAAATGTATGGGCATGTATGGGCTGTATCCATACTACCGCTGATGCATGCCAGCTTGGGTCATTCTGCAGAAGCTATGCGTAGCCGCAGCCGCGAGGATGTGTTTCTCGAATTTTCCCAACCACTGTAATGAAAATAACCGCTCAATGCTTTGGTGTATTTGAGCCGGGTGTTCACCACCATTAGAAATGGATTGAGCACATCCTTTTTGGGTTTACTATAATTGGCTGGTCATTCTTCGTTAGCTGAAAACTTTTATGTCATGGGCACACCATCCCAATCTTCAGTGGCAAACCTGGCTCATGGATCGGGTATTCTCGATCCCAAAAGAGCAGGACAAACTAAAATGAGAGCAAAACTGTCCCGCTGGTTCCTAGGACAGTAGGATCTAAGGCCAAAGTGCTCGCAGGTGCAGAGTCCAGCCACGCGTCTGGTTGTACAAGGTCGCGTACTTGCCGCTTGCCACTTGAATGAAGCTCTTCACAGACCATCTGACTCTTGGTCCTGGATTGTCCAGGAACCACGGCTCACATAGCAGAAAGTTCTGTCCATTGTGGAGCTTGAAATTCAATGGCACGGCTATCTCCGGCGGGATCTCTTTCCATTGGGGGTTCAAGAGGGACGCAAGATCCCCATTGTCAAACGTATACTCCCATCGGCACACCATGCGCACTATTGAAACGGGCTTTAGCACTCTCCCAGGGCCCAATCACTACAGAGTACCTTCTACTCCGAGCCAAAGAATCAAAACGAAATTGTTGTCGTTGATCTGCCAGGATCCTTTCAATCGAAGCTTCTGTCTGCTCGTTTCTGCTGTTTTGAAATGTTTGCCAATCTCCAGTTTGTCTCCTGTTGGTGCAACTATCATTTCAGGCCGAGAGCTGGGAGACCACATCACATAATATCACATACTAGAACATGCAACAATATGTAACAACGCAAAAGGCGGTCCAAATCGGCCACCTGTGGTTTAGTGCGGTGTTTTCAATCAGAACGTACTCCGGCCAGCTGATTGGCCAAATTCGGGGGGGATGCCACATAGTACCCCTTTCAACATGGGTCCCAGTGGCCTGGCAGAATTCGAAAACAGCCGTGGCAAAGCGTGGCGACCATGACGCTAACGCATGGCTTCCAAAGACGCAAATAGGCGCATCAACTAATTTTGACACACATTGGAGTAAGTTATGGTAAGTTTCACTCGCGTAGTATTGCATTTTTATCGATGCAGAAAAAACACATGGAACTTTAACACTGGAAGCATGCTACAAAAAAACACTTGATGAATCATATTGAATGAATTTGAATGATATTGAATGATGCCTCCCTACTGACTACCTGCAAAGTAGCGTTGCAAAGGTTGATGCCTGGTTGTCACTGAAACTGAATGCAGAACATTGCAGAACTGAATGCACCAAATGCCAGCAGCATTGAAGCTTGATGTCAATCACAGCGCTGCACGACAATCGGTCTAAATGAGATGCGGATGGGTTCTGACCATCCCCTTTGTGACAATTGGCTCATGGTTAACCCCACATCACCACAAAAAAGGTACGGTATGGGCGTGAATTCAAAACCTGATCCCGATTCAGCCACCAGAAATGATCATGTTGAAAATACCATACCAAAAGAAACCGTACGTTTCCTGAGGTTTCCCAAATTGATGTATTATCAAATGGGGGTACACCCCCCCACCAATACAAAAGTTAGGTCATGGGGATTATGAAAGCAATTCCGTGTAACTACGCTTGATGCCTGAGCATCACCAGGACCAGCCAGAGTCTCCGTTGAATCGAGCTGCATGAGGCTGCTTGAAGGTCGAGGTTCTGAAGTGTTAGCACCTCCTCGCCAGCGACAGGCTCGCATTCATCCTCAGAAGGAAAGTCATCCCATTCATCGTCTGCAGTCACAGGCTCATGTTCTCCTCCGCCCAACACCAAGCCGTACCCTGTTGATCGCCACCACAGCAAAAAAACCCTTCCTATTTCTTTTGGGTTTTGGCTCGATGAAGCGACGGCCTTCAAGAAGCAAACTGAATGGAAGGCTGCGCTCCCAATGCCCTTGGCGCTTTCATGTGGCATTCCATGCCACTCAGGAACCTCGGCTTTGCTCTGGGGGCTCTGCTCCGCTTGACGAAGATGGAGTCTCTGGAGGGAAAGCATGTAGCTTTTCAAATTTGGCTGACGCCCGAACTGGCTTTGACTCTTCCAAAGTGCTGCTCTGCACAAGCTTCTAGGGTTGAAAGAGGGTCAAACGCACCACTTTGATGCATCACTCTTTCCACCATGTGCGCAGCGACCCACACCAGACATCTCAGCGTCTGGTTCGCGAAGTAGGAATCTTGGACTTTTCCACCGCGGTTCGCAGCCTCCCACAAGGAGAAAAGCACCATGTAGTAGCCGCTGAGCGCGTTCTGCAGGCACTGTGCAGGTGTAAAGGCACGCGCTGATAACCAAACACCTGTGGTCAAAGCGGACATCAGCGCTAGCAAATGCATTCCGGCATGATCCCAACAGCGATCGCTTGACCAAGCGCTCACATTCAAAGGCCAAGCATGTTCACGATCGGACTGGACCTGCACCACCTCTATAACCTTAGATTTGCTAATGCATAACTTGTACCCCCGCACCCCCAATCTCAATGTTGAATGACATGTTGACAGGTGGTGCAGGATTTCCGTCACTCGCACAAATCCATTTTGATCACTGCGTCTTCAAACAATATTAAATTAGGAGCGCGAGGTTTTAAGTGTGCTCCTTTGAAAGTGGTGCAGGATTTCTTCCATCAACAGTAGGAAAATGATCTACATTCATGGTGGTTTTTCTACGTCAGCAGGATGGTCCTTACATCATCACCATTCTGTGGATCATCGTATCATTTTGAAAATTGTGAGGTTGATTTTCCAGACGTTGGAAAAAAGTGTGTTCAAGAGTGTTGTCGCTTTGTACCAGAGTTCTGAACTTCAAAGAAACTTCAAAAAATGACAAGTTCAACATTTAAAATTGAAGGCCAGACCTATAATCAATTGGGTTAGTGATTACAAAACAGCTCATAAACAAAACTGGTTGCGGTTTCCGGCTTCATCTGTAGCCATTTAAGTGGCCTAGGGACTCAGGGTCTGTCTCGCAACGGCTCATGGCCGAAAAGCGAGACGCCGTGCCCAAATCCTGCGCCGCAGCGGACGAACTTCATGACTCAAGGGTTGAGGAGAGTGGCTTCATGTAAATGACATTGCACATCATACATATGCATATATATATATGTGCATATGACATACAATTATACGTATGAGGAGATTAACAAATAGATTGATATTCATCTTCACAGATGTATACAGTATATAAATAACAACATACAAATATGAGATGCATGTGTACATAGACATGTATATAGTATATATATATACATACTGTATATATATATATATATTAATATATGTTTATATTATTACATATAAGTGATCATAATTAGCCAATTGTATCTGTATCTCTAGCGTTCAAAGTCACTTTGTAAGACAAGTTTCTGGATGAAACTTCTTGCGCGTGACGTAAGTTGATGAGCCATTAACATTGGGTATGTGAATATATTTATATGATATAATATAATATAATATATATATATGTATTACATAACCAGGGTGGTGGTATTAGGTATCATTATATATATAAACAGTTTATACAATTAACTTGAAACAACTCAGAAATCAGATTCCTGTGTGACCAATGACAATGTGTGGGTGAAGCTTATAGTTAAATATGAACACCAGCTAGCCACATCTAAGAACATATTAAAAAATCACAATGTACCATAATGGAAATATGATTGGTAACATCACCATAATATAATCTAGTGTGTGTGTGTGTCTTAAAATGGGCTGGGGTATACCACCTTAAAATAGCTAAGTTTCATAGGGAATCTACGGGAATATGATGATGAAACCCCATATGGTACCCGAAATGTGATGCTAAAAAAAATCATGTTCCCCATAAAAAACGATAAAAAAGGGCTATCTACTAGGCCGTGGCAATGCCGCAGAGCCGTTTGAATAGACATCGATGGCAAAATGCCAGATCCATAGATTGGGCAGGTCATCCTGCGAAATTCGATGAAATTGGGTATATGAAAAATTGCGTTCTTTGGATTTTGTAAACCAACTGGGAAGTTACTGGGTAGATCATCCAACTTCCGATGGAGCCTCTGATCGGGTGGACAAGTGTCGAGGATGAAGCAGTTCCTGGATGGAGTAATGACAACAGCTGAATATCAAGACAACCTCGATTCATGTGACTTGTTCAAATTATGGAATAACACCCCAAACATCCTCAAATTGTTGCATCCATCTCCCTTCCAGCCTCAAAACACCTGAAACTCGCAGTTCCAAAAAAAACTATCCACTCAAAACATGGCCCTGGCGCCATGGTTTTCTAGAGCGGGATTGGATCTCACAAATGGAAAAAAGGGTTCATTCAACTCCTGGGGTTAGTGATTGATCATTGTAAAGTAGCTACCCTCTGGTAAACTAACATAGCTATTGAAAATTGCCATTTATAGTGGATTTAGCCATTAAAAATGCTGATTTTTCATGGTTATGTTAATTTACCAGGGGGTAAATTAGAGCCGCTGGCATGGTTGAAAGTCACACTTGTCATCTCCAGATATCCATTGGGCCAAAGCATCAAAACCAGTTATATATATATGTTATATCTGATTTGGATATAGGGGGTAATTATGAATATTCTCCATTTGAATATCCAGAAACAGGAGTTGGTAAATGACCTAATTAAACATCACCCAACTCTTCGGGTATTTGCTCTCCAACAAAACATTGAAAGTGATGTTTTTCAAATCCCCAAAACATATCAAAACATAACATTTACCAACCCTTGATAAATGCCAGCGATTCTTCATTCAGCTACCAGTCATCGCTGAACTTGACAGGTGGCGACTGGCTCGGCTGCCAAGGCATCCTCGGCGAAGGTGGAGGTGCCCCAGTCTTCGTTACTGCTTGGTGGTATACCATTAATAATGGTTAATATATGGTTATTATTTGGTTAATGATGGTTAATCATAATCTGGTTGGTGGTATACCTACCCGTTTAACCCCTACCCCTCTGAAAAATGATGGAGTTCGTCAATGGGAAGGATGACAACCCAATACAAGCCATATATGAAATGGCAACTACATAAAAGCCATGTTCCAAACCACCAACCAGGCTAAGTTGGTTTATAAACCATAGTTGCCATAGTGACTAGTTCGATCTATCCACCGTTACCTACCATAAATCCTCGTGAAATTGGAGTTATTTGCACCAACATCTGTTGCAACAGATGGGTGCGGTGCCGCTGCGGTGCCGCTGCGGTGCCACTGCCCAAGCCATCCAAGCCATGGCGGTTTCAGCCACCAGTGCTGGTTCAGCCTGTTGTTTCAACCCTCCAGAAACACGTTTTTTTTGTGCGAAAAACACTGCACCTGAAACTTATTCAAGCCCTGATGCAGTTCTTTTCCTTCTCCTTTCCTACTGACAAGCTTCTCTAATCTTGGAGCCTTTCCTTTCCTCTCCATGCTCCTGACAACTAGCAAGGCGAAGAAGGGGAAAGGAAAGAAAGGAACCTGGACTAGAAAAGCTTGTCGGTCCCAGGAGGGATGGTGTGGGGCTGACAAGCTTTTCAAACCTCGGTGCCTGTTTTTTTCCCTTCTGTGCTGCTCCTGGACACAGGCAATGTAAGGAAAGGGACGGCAAGGATAGGAAAGGGACCAGGACTAGAAAATGGCGCTGGTCCCAGGAGGGATGGTTTGAGGCCGGCAAACCTTTTTAGTCCTGGTGCCTTTCCTTTCCTTGCACTGGCCCTTCAAAAAACCATATTGCTTGCTAGCCCCGGTTCCCTGGCTGTGCTGGTTTCTTGGGAATCGGCCGGGATCAGGTCCAGCTAGCCCCGAGGTCAGCCTTTAAATCAAAAGGTTGGTGTATGTTGGGAACTTCCCAGGGCCCACTTGTAACCTCCGCTTTTCCATCTGTCCATAGTGTCGGAAGTTTGACTTCAAACCTCCTTCGATCAAAAAATGATTTTCCATGGCAAAGCCTTAATCATTACAAGAGGGTATACTCTATATCCCAGCTAAATCTATATATATATAAATAAATATAGATATATCTTATTGAATCAACTGGGACTACTGTATATTATCCCACTACATATACCTATATAGTTATAACTATTAAAAATATATATATATATATATATTCTCCATGATTATCCCCTAGATCATCCAAAAAACTATCCGCATTCCAATGATGATGGCAAACCAATACCCCAGTGTATCCCCTCGAAACGGCCATGGTCAAAATTTCTCGTTTTCGGGCCATTTTTTTGGGGGGCCGTGGCTGTGGTGGATCCCAAAAAAATTACCCGGCCTGGTAAACTAACACAAAAAGCTATTGAAAACGGCCATAGAAATGGTTGATTTACCCATTAAAAATGGTGATTTTCCATAGTTATGTAAACGTTTACCAGAGGGTAGTCTAAATAAAAGTCTTTCAAAGGTTACGAATGTGATCCGTGGTCACCCAAGTTGAAACTTCTCAAGTAGAAACGGAGTCTATGGGAAAGCCCCAGAGGAATAACTTTTGTCCTGGCGGTGTATCCCATGATCATCCGATGAGATACCACCATAAATGAAAAAACATAAAGTGGTTGGTGGTTTTAACCATCTTGAAAAATATGAAAGTCAATGGGAAGGATGACAACCCATATATGAAATGGAAAATAAAAAATGTTCCAAACCACCAACCAGTAATTTTGATGGCTTCTAAAAAACTAAAGCCTCAATTCATCTTTTTTGTTCGTCATAGACGTATCCCCATGGATATGTGAGATCTAAACCATGAAACATCCCGATTTCTTATCCGACGAATTTTCTTGGTGAAATATGGAGGTTTCCTGAATTTTTTGGTACCTCTAAATAATGCATGTTCATCGGATTTTCCATGTTCTAAGTATAGACCACCCATTTTAAGGGGTACCCCCGTTTATGGAAATCCTCATATGAAAAATATGCAAAATCCATTGTAATGAATAATGTTGGTAATACAATAAACCATTCCCCAGTCATCACCATTTCTCTAGGTGGTATGTTTACCATTCCCAAATGGTTGGTAAACATGACATTGCTTTAACCACATTAATCATCCATGAGTCATCCATTAATCACCATTTATCACATCAAAAAAATGGTGGGTTTATTATTGTCTTACAAACATTACATATATATATATATACATATTAAATATGTATATATATATAGCATACGTATTTGCTTTAACCACACTAAAAATCTCCCATTTTTTAGCCCTGAGTCGTCTTCCACATCTGCGAAGACCACTGTACTGCCGCTGGAGTGTTGGGAGTGTTGCCCCAGCGACGGCGCCGGGGACGTCGGCGCTGGGGTAAGCGCCATGAGGCCCACGTCAATGCGCCATAGAGGGCATGGAAAGGATGAAGGATTTTGTTGGGAAAAGAAGAGATGTGTTGAGAATGGTGTCTTATCTATGGCTTTTTGATGATCTTCCATGAGTTTTTGGGTGTTTTTCTGGGTGATTTTTGGATGAAGCTCAAGTTGCCGAGCTCCGTAGCGAGCCTGCCGGTACCCATGGTTTGTTCTTTGCTCAGTCATGGAGCCGCTGGAAGCTGTCAACGGAGCCGACCATATGATCCAAAGTTCTGGGTCAGAATCCCTTCCCCCGATGACACAAAACATCATTCAACATGGTGGATGCAGTGGATGAAACCACATCTGACTGGGACCATACAAAATGGGGGCTGTCAACAATAGAGGATGGGAGTACTAAAAATCCCTATGATATCCCCATATCATACCACCATTTTTTCCTATTAAAATCACCTCTTTTTGGTGGTTAAACTCCCCATGTTCAATACCTCAATGATTTGGGCGGCTGAGCAGCTGACTTTTTCAGGGTCGGAGGGTCTTCTGCCACGACCCAGATCCGCTGAACTCTCCGCGGTTCTGATGGTTTTTTTCGATGGTTTCATCGAGTTGGCACATGGATTTTAAAAGAATGGTGTTCTCCAGTCGGGGCAAACTCGTGTAAGGAAAGTCAGTCATGTTTTTAAAGGGAAAAAAAACATCATTCCATTTCTAGGTGAATTCAAGATTGCCATCATCCTGTTTAGATGTGCATTGAAGTCTTTTTGTTGAGACAAGTCATCAACTTGCAACCATGGTCAATCTTTGCTAGTCCACAATTAATTCATGTTTTGCCATGGTGATGGTTATGGTTATTTTCCATGTGCCATCAAAAAAAGATTAATACGTGGAAAATAACCATAACCATTGATACAAAGTTTAACTAAGTTTTGTACTGTGATGGCTAATTCATGTTTCTTTAAACTAAAGGATCAATAGTTACCTTGTGTTGGGGATGCAACCACCAGTGACCGTTCTCGGCGTTCACCTCGGCCTTACCTTCGTCGGCCGGAGAGCCGGACATGCTCCGCTCACTTGATGAAGGCCGTCATGTCTTGCGCGCAAAGGTAAACAGTCCTGCGCAACTGGAGGTGCCACTGTTGGTTAACGCTAAGTTGATGAACAGTTTACTTGGTGAATTGACTATGTTTCTTAATGGTGTAAATATAATTGTATAATTATGGTGTATATATAACTGTATAATTATGGTGTATATAAAATTATACTATGGTGAGTTGACTATGTTTTTCATGGTGTATATATATAAATATATACATCGAACTAGTTGCCTGAACGGTTCATAAACCAAGTTATAAATGGGACACCTGGAATCATGTGCCTTCCATGTAAAAAGGCGCATCTGGAGATGTCAATCCGGGGTGGGGGATACATCACCAAATGATTTGGATGGGTCTGAAATGCTGGATATCATTGCATATATATATATTATATATATACTATATCATGTATATACTATATTGTACTTACTGTATTATAATATATCTACAGTATATATATCATAACTATAGTTATAATATACCATATTGTACCGCCCAAACAGCCATCATCATGGGGAAAATTCGTACAGTTGATCTGCTTGCGTAGTTCCAGGACGTCGAAGGGGAAAATGATGATGACATGTGTGGATGTAGCAAGTTTTAAGACGTTACCCTCTGGTTATTTAACAGTTTGCCATGGTATAGATGGCCCATTTATAGATGGTTTACCTATTAAAATGGTTATGACTAACAGTTTGCCATGGTATAGACGGCCCATTTATAGATGGTTTACCTATTAAAATGGCTATGACTAACAGTTCGCCATGGTATAGATGGCCCAGTTGGAAATAGATGGTTTACCGAACTTACTAGCATGGTGGGTATCTTTCCAGTTCGCTATGGCACAGTCATAACCAGATGCAGGGTGGTGCCCCATAGTCAGCTAAATTGGTTTATAAGTCCAATGTCACTATGGTTTATAGGTGATATATCGAACTAGTTAATGGGATTATAACCCATTTATAACTTGGGGGGCACCACCTTGTGGTACTCCATGGCACGAGTCATGGGGATTCCAACAGCGTCGACCACGACGTCGTCCTGAAGTACTTGAAGAATTCTTCCTGGCGCTGAGATTTTTTTCGATGCAAAACCCGCAAGAGTCTGATCCAAACTGACCGTAATCAGATGGCTACTGGGTTTGAGGACTCCCGTAATTTATGTCATTTGCAAATCGATGTGAGTCGAGTGCTTATCCGCAATCAGATGTTCTGGCAAATTAGTTGGCGTTCAGCTTTTGCACGAGGAAAAACTTGTCGTTTGGAGGTCCAAACAATCCAAATTCACTCTTGACATCTCGAGGCCTACCCTCCGGCGATTTAAGATAGCTATTGAAAATCAGAAATTTATGATTGACCTACTAAAAATGGTGATTGTCCGATTCGCAAACTGTTAGTTTACCAGAGGGTAAACAACGGATTTTGCCCATTTGTCTTGAACATCTTGAAAGAAACCATGAGTCTAAGGGTTGAGTAGACGCAGTGTTTGGACTATGATTAGGATTCATTTGGCCCATATCCAAAGTGTCATTTCTATCGCTTGATACCAAATATCAAATGTATATATACAGTATGTAACAGTATGTATATATATATATATGTATATATTGCTCAAGATATTACATGTCATTTATGCCAGGATATGCCAGTCACTAGGTGTCCGACCCTCAAATTTTGGCATCTCCAGCCAAAATCAATGATGTCTTTCTGGTATATACCATACCGTACCATCGGTCTCTATCCTGCACCAAAGGATTTGGGTTTCTAGGGAATCATCAAATCCCCACCCCCGTTGACCTTTGTATTCAGAGAAAATTCAACGAGTTTAGGGTTTAGGGGTTTAGGGTTGAGCAGAATGATGATGATAATGATGATAATAATGATATTAACAATGATGATATTAATCATGATGACATTAATCATGATGATATTAACCATGATGATATTATTCATGATGACATTAATCATGATGATATTGATCATGATGATATTAATCATGATGATATTGATCATGATGATATTAATCATAATGATATTAATCACGATGATATTAATCATGATGATATTTTTTAGAATGGTATTAATAATGATGATGTTGTAACATTCCACGCACAGGTTGCTCAGCTGTGCGTTGCATGTGCATTTTGTCCCACAAAACAGTGTTTTTTGATGTTCGGACACATGGTGGACGTCGGCGCGGGCAAAAGGATGGGTTTGCGCGTAATTTTACTTCAGAACTGTGTGTATGATGGTTTATGATTGTGGGCATGCCACATCAAGCAACTACTCGACCATACCAAATCTTTAAGGATGAACATTCCATCATATCCCATTGTAACCCCAAGATTAAAAACACGTATGATAACTAGCACTATCTGAGTAGTTTTTTGAAAACAAAAACAATCTTTTTGGGGAGTTCTACAATATTATATAACATATATTAACCATATCACCCAGAACCCCATGGTTTAGTGGACCGTTGGAAAATCATTTGGGGGACACCGGGGGGCCGCACAAAGATTCTTGAAAGAACCATTCTATTGGATTGGGATATTCTATAATTTATGAACATATAGATTTTCTGGAACAGATTCATAGATATGATATAGATATGGTATGATATGGTGGTAAAAAAAAGAACAGTGTTGAATCTTGGGGCTACTCTCTCTCTCTCTCTATGTATATATATATAATCATTATATATTATATACTCATCTGTCATCCCCATCCCCATGTTCCCCACCTTACTGAGCCAGAAGACACCATCGTTGGCCTCAGAGACTCGACGCAACAAACGACCTGAAAAAATCCGGTTGCGTCAGTAGGGCCAAATGGCAAGAATTCACAAATAGTATATAAAAGAATATTGGTAATATGTATATTTGTTTATCTATATATATCGATATGTATATACAGTAGATATAGTTATATATATATACATGTATATATAGTTATAAATAAATAATGATATATATATAATCATAGGTATATAATTACATATGTATAAATATATATATATAAAGGCATGATACCTACATATATATTTACACGACTAGTAACTCACAGAAATTGTCAAATGATGTCAAAAACCAGGGGGTTAAATCATACTGTATATGTTGTATGGTGAAAATTGCTTCAGCAGGGTGAACCAACCACCATTTTGCACCCGTTGAGCCACTTTGCAAGGAAAGCATTGCAAATCGGATGGCGCTCTCAGATCAAATGTGGATTATTGTGGATTGTATATGATTGGATCATTTCGCACGATGCTTTGGGAGCTTTTCAGTCAACGGTTTCCTGGTGAATCACACACTATACTTATTGACCGTGATGAGACAGGGGTAGCTTTGATCAGCTTTGTCTTTTTCCATTCATGTCACATTTGCCAAAAATATGATTCTTCTATCGATGTCGTCTATCTGAAATGGAATGGTACTTTAAATGGATACCCCTAAATATCCCTAATTTTCAACATGGAACCCAAAAAAAATGTTGTCTGGAATCGTCTGGAATCCATTTTCTTTTTCGCGCTTGGATATGGCATGATATGGCCATTCATGGGTTCGATGCGCACAACTTTTTAGATAAAAAATTCGTCAACATCCAGTAACATCCAACCACATCCAGGCCGGGCACCTTGGTTGGCTTGCAAACATTCTTCACCTCGACAACTTGTCAAGGTCAAACGAAATCGCGACGATTTCGTTGACGCACAGTTCACTCAAGGTTAACGTTTGGGTACCGTAACAATTTGGGTTGATGTAAGTAAAGTTGAGGGGTCAACCTTTAAAAACCGGGGGAATCCCACCTGTAACCGACATTGAACAGAACTGGTTGGTGGTTGAGCCCTACCCCTTCTGAAAAATGATGGAGTGAAAGTCAGTTGGGATGACATGACATTCCCAACTGAATGGAAAAATAAAAGATGTTCCAAACCAACCAGATAAACTATGTTACAGTAAGCCAGCCGATCTTTTGCAACCCCCAATACATGAGTTGCGTTCCAGGAATAGACTCTCGCAAACCCCAGTTACAATAGTTGCAGATAGAAAAGTTGCGAACCTGGAAATTGTGGAGAAAACATCATATAACATCCTGGAAACACTTCTCTTTTTGGGGACCCCTGTAGGGTTACACAGACTGAAGAGACTACTTGGAAGTGTCAAGGAGGAAGCAAATCACAGTGCACTTGAACCTGGTGCTAGCAATCAACGTGCTTCCGGCTGATTTGGATTTCTGATTTGATTTGGATCGGTGACAATTCCCTGAAAATCTCAGGATATGGATATGGGAATTCCAAATCATCAACCCAACTCACCAGATGCTTTTAAAGTTAGCTGAAGTTAGCTGTTTTTGAGCTGTTTCAATATACCCTCTGGTAATTTAACATAGCTATTGAAAATGGCACATAGAAATAGTTGGTTTACCTATTTTTCCATAGCTATGTTAGTTTACCACAGGGTATCGTTGCAAAAATCCCGAACTTGGGCCAAAATATCCAGCGCCTGTGGGTAGTCGGCCCATCCAGGTCCATCGTCACACCATTGACCCGAAGTAAACTCGCCTGGCGAGGCGCAACGCGAGGCGCAACACGAGGCACAACAGTCGTCTTCAGGGAGACACATACACAATAGCCTTAGGTATAATTTCCAGCAAACTAACATAGCTACAGAGAATAGACCATTTCAATAGTTGATTCAGTAAGATGGTGATTTTCCATAGCTGTGGTACTTTACCAAAGGCTATAGCTCACCTCCAAATGGGTACCCTCTGGTAACATCGCCACAATGACCATAGAATCATTGACCTACTGGAAATGATAGATTTTCCATAGCGATCTGTTAAATTGCCGATATGTGATCCAGCTTTTCACCATGGCACATATGCTTTTGGTACCTGAACTAATTTAGGTGCAAACATTTAGGTACTCCAATGGATTTTCCACATGATTAAACCATCAGTATCGCAACAAAAACCATGGGCCTGAACTGCGGCCTGTCAATGGATTGGTTTAAGGGAAAATCTGAACCGGAAACCATAGGTTTTCCCATTAAATATGGGACGTTCCTGTAAATGTTCCAATGCTTGAGACTGAACTGCCATCCACGTACAAAATCCTCCGTGCTGCGCCTTTGCCCCAGGGGTTTCGTACTTTGATGAGATCGTGCCTGGCTTCGCAAAGCGAACCCGTGTGTTGTTTGATCTTTTTTTTGGCAGTTGGATTGCGAGACTGAGAATGACAAACATTTACAAATTATAATATAAACTTGGACACCTGCAAAAACCACTGGGCCGCCAGTTTTCCTTTCAGAAAAACCAAGAACAACTGCTGACAGTTACAGACTGCTTATGTCACCTCGCCCCTCACCATCGCAAGCTGCCGTTAAGCTGCTCAGTTCCCGCGACGTCGTTGAGGCAGGTGATCACTGTGTAAGCATGTCCGTCGACAATGCCATCGGTGGTGTTGGTGTCAGATCCTGCACCGACCACAGAATTCGGAGAAACGAATCACTTGATATCACTACACTGCGCCAAAAAAAACATGTGCATCTCTGATAGAATCTGGCAATGCAATGCCAACCTTTGTCCCAAAAAAAAACTGGCCCCTCTCAACACTCCGGGCGCCGTCTCTATCGCATGAAACATGGCGTCCTGCTTTGGTTCCAGCGGCCATGACATAGTTCTGATCATCCCAAGCACACATGCGCTCGAACATCTCATTGAGGCCACACTTGGCTCTTTTGTCACCACCACCACCGACCTGAATGACAGGAAAGGATGGGAAAGGATGGGAATGGCAGGAATGGCAATGGCAAAAACCAAAAACAAGAAAACAATGGGGGAAAAGAAACCACTTGCACTTCATTGCAAATGTGCACTTTGACAATGCTTGACTAATTTAAATTCAAACAACGAACGTCTCATATGTTGCAAACTGAGTAATTAGACATGTTGTTCCTTTCACACCGCAAGTCCACGGTTTGGAGAACATATGCTCCAGTTTTGATAGGCCCTTCATTGGATAGTTGGACTGGATTGTATATAAAATATTATAAAATAATAATCAATATAAATTTATGTAACGTTTTATATTCTTTACAGTTAATATTTATACAACGCTGAGCCATGACTTCGTCACTTGAACATCCAAAATATCCAAATCGCTTCACGATGCTTCATTAACGAAGTTGAATCAAACCTGAAAAATGACACTTTCCAAAAGTCCCTTCCAAATTCAGCAACGTTGCTAACCTCAAAAAACAATTGGCCCCTTCCAGTCATCTCCAGTCACCAGTCACCAGGGGCGCCCAACCACGGGCCAATCCATCGGCCACAATCCTTGGGATCCTTTGTGTCCAGAATTCTCCAGTGGATCCCACTCCTCCGCGATTCGACGCTTCGACATCCAGCGGGATGCTCCGAAATGTTGGGAGTGCAAAACCAAAAGAAAACGGACCTCGGAAAATTTTCGAATAAGGGACAAAGATGGGAAAATGATGAGAATTTAGGCCGTTTTCTTTTTTGAGAGGGGAAATGAGGATAAAGCATGATAAACCAGGAGATGGAACGGGTACAAAACAGGGTTTATATCCCGAAATGGTCCGACCCGAGACGAGAGCTTCTGTGGGAAATCGCAGTTTCCGTGGGAACATCTGCATGTCGTGGGTTTGCCACACCTCCATGTTGGATGAATTGCCGGGAAAACTATCCACACAAAGCTTTGTCGCCTTATGTCATCATTGAGCTGAGATTTCCACAGATTACTCTCTGGTAGACTAACAGTTCGCGAACTTGAAACCATGGCCCATAGAAATCGTTGATTTACCGAACTTTTTCGGATGGTGGTTTTCCAGTTCGCAAACTGTTACCCTCTGGTAAGCATACAAAAAACGATGGAAAATCACCATGTTGAATGGGAAAATCCACAAGATAACACCATTTTCCATAGCAAACTGTAAACGTTTACCAGAGGGTATCCACACAAAGATTGGTTCCGGAAATTTCCAATGAGACTATCCACCGAAAAAAACACCATTGAAAAATCAATTCCATGTGATGCCTCCATGACCGATAAAATCGCCAAGTGAACGCACACTTATTACTTTGTTGAAAAAGGGTTTATTTGAGATATAACATGATATACATATATATCTATATGATATGTATATAATCCACAGCCATTGGAAGTGACAGTTTGTTCATGAGGAAGTGACAGTTGAGATGTGGACATGATGTAATTATAAACATGCATGTAATTATAAACATGTATGTCATCATAAACATGCCAACGGACTCGCTACCGTCGCACAAATCCACATCCGGTAGCCTGGGGTGGGGTGGGGTGGGGTGGGGCGGGATAATAACGTCATTGGCATTTCCACATGAACCTGATGCTACGCTCTATGACCTTCAATTGAAATTCCACATGAACTTGATGCTACGCTCTATGATCTTCAATTGCAATTCCACACATCCGCATCCGATAGTCTGGGGTGGGGTGGGGTGGGGTGGGATAATAACGTCATTGGCATTTCCACATGAACTTGATGCTACGCTCTATGATCTTCATTGGCATTTCCACATGATCGTGATGCTACGCTCTATGATCTTCATTGGCATTTCCACATGAACCTGATGCTACGCTCTATGATCTTCAATTGCAATTCCACATGATCTTGATGCTACGTTCTATGATCTTCAATTGGCATTTCCACATAATCTTGATGCTACGCTCTATGATCTTCAATTGGCATTTCCACATGAACTTGATGCTACGCTCTATGCTCTTCAATTGCAATTCCACATAATCTTGATGCTACGCTCTATGATCTTCACTGGCATTTCCACATGAACCTGATGCTACGCTCTATGCTCTTCAATTGCAATTCCACATAATCTTGATGCTACGCTCTATGATCTTCATTGGCATTTCCACATGAACCTGATGCTACGCTCTATGGTCTTCAATTGCAATTCTACATGATCTTGATGCTACGTTCTATGATCTTCAAATGGCATTTCCACATGATCTTGATGCTACGTTCTATGATCTTCAGTTGGCATTTCCCCATGAACCTGATGCTACGCTCTATGATCTTCATTGGCATTTCCACATGAACCTGATGCTACGCTCTATGATCTTCAATTGCAATTCCACATGATCTTGATGCTACGCTCTATGATCTTCAATTGGCATTTCCACATGATCTTGATGCTACGCTCTATGATCTTCAATTGGCATTTCCACATGATCTTGATGCTACGCTCTATGCTCTTCAATTGCAATTCCACATGATCTTGATGCTACGCTCTATGATCTTCAATTGGCATTTCCACATGATCTTGATGCTACGCTCTATGCTCTTCAATTGCAATTCCACATGATCTTGATGCTACGTTCTTTGATCTTCAATTGCAATTCCACATGATCTTGATGCTACGCTCTATGATCTTCACTCGCATTTCCACATGAATCTGATGCTACGCTCTATGATCTTCAATTGGAATTCCACATGAACTTGATGCTACGCTCTATGATCTTCATTGGCATTTCCACATGAACTTGATGCTACGCTCTAAGATCTTCAATGTGAGAAAAAGTTGTGGTTGCCGTTTTTGAGGCTGAAGTGATGGAAGAGTTGCTATTCCCAAAGTAGACGGACCTTTTTTTTGATAGGTTTTGAATGCAAAAACTGGCTCCTCGCTGTGAGGACGTGGTAATTTTGATCATTTTCGCACGCCGGTAACGCTTCCGCCGGGTTCATAAACATGATGTCACATTTCTGTGGCAACTAGGTAATACATCTCACATGACTTCACACACTAATGCATGAAAAATAAAACACACATGAACACATATATCTACACAACATAACATCAATAGAAATGTAACATACCATTAAACCACCAAACATCATAGTTATGGAGTCCTGGGCCTTCCCTGGAAACCTCTGACATTAGGAAACTCTTGAACTCTTGAACTAGCAAGCAGCCTTGGTCACTTGGTCTTTGTTCTTCTACCCCCGACTGGCCAAAAATGTCATGGAAGGCAAAATGTTTTACTTGGAAGGCCAAGAGGCTCGAACTGGTGGATTCTGATGGTGCCCTTCAGCAGGTCTGCATTGCGCTTCTTTTCGATTCTTGCAACCTTAGAAAGGTGCTGCTGCATACTCAAAAAGGGGGAAATGTGGAGTCTTACAGCAGCCAGGAAACTGCAGTTCCTGCTGAACATCCCTCAACCACCATGAGGATCATTGCAGAAACCACTCCTGCCAATTGGACGCCCTTGTGATCATGAACCCGAATGCTTCCCCCCGCACCATGAATCCGCAAGAAGTAGAAGAGATCTCTCAACCTTAGATTAATCACTGCCATTCAATTAAAAACACATGTTTTGCTTCATTTGTCACAAATACTCCTGGCTACCAGGGACTCTGTGTATGGTGAACATCCAAAGTAAGTCCGAGTAACTTCTTCATGATCGCATCCTCCTCCCACCTTTCCATCCAAGAAGGATGCAAATGAAACAGCGCTATGCCATACCACGCAGCCTCCCTCTGATACTCATACCTGGGAGGGGCAAGAGGTGCATCAGGACAACTTGGTGGTTCCAGGCAAATCTGGACATCAGAAGGCCCCCTGGCTTCTAAATTGTAGGGCAGCTATCATTCCTGCGGATCATCACTTCGAATTGGAACTTGATAGTCAGTGTTCCTTTTTGATTGAATTGGCAAAAATCATTTGCTGTCATTGACTTCCACTTGTGGAACTGAGGTTGATAGCAAAAGGCAGAAGCTGGATGAACCACCTGCAGCTTGGTCTTAGTTTCAAGAGGCAACTGATAATTTGAAATTGTGCAACATCAAAATATATCAAGGTTCTTGATGTGAACATCCCTGGTGCCATGCCATGCCTGCTACCTCATCAAAAGCCATGAACTTGCTGAGGCAACCGGCAGATCTTCGAGCAGTGCAGCACCGACTCCTGCAAGTGCTTTAGCTCCTTGGCTTTGGTTGCAAAGGGAATTGTATGCTGTTCATCAATGATATCCAAATTTCTTGTAGGCTCACTATCCACACCTATACCAAGTGGGTGAATGTTGTCCTAAATGGCCCCAGTCCTTTTGACATGCATTCCGGCAGCTTCTTTGATAATGCTTAGTAAGCCAAGGTTTATGTTCTCACTGGCAACTACCAGTTGACTTTCACTGAGGCTTCCATTCTTGAACTCAAGGACATGGACCAACAGAAGATGATGCCTGTCTGATTTTTTACATGTAGTTTTTTTAATATTTATTTTGAGGGTGCCTTGTGCTGAAGTAGCAAACAGTGCCTCAGTTCCACCAATCCGAGAATCTGAAGAGCCACTGGTTTGTTGTTGGCATGTTTGACTACTACTACCTCAAAGCCAACAGATTCAAGGGCATTGTGCTCTGCTTCAGCACTAACCAGCTTCAAACAGCATTGGATATATTTCAGACAAAAGCATTGAGATTATGCCAGCCCATCAATCCATCAGTCAATTCTTTGGGCACTTTGTCCATGATTGAATGGACAGCAAATGAATGCATTCCATTCTGCTGGATTTTGGAAATTCCATTGACAAAAACATGCAGTGAGCAGCAAGAATTCTGTTAATTAGTTTGCTTGCTTATGTATTGACATAGCATTCGTTCTTGCAAACTATTTTATATAAATTGGTTTTTGAGCCCCTCTCCATGTGCGCATGATCATATTTCCTACATGCCTCACATGTTGCACCCTTCAAAATTTGCATACTATGGGCAAAAAATGATACTGTAAACATTATATACTCAAAATCTAAACACCCAATTGCCAAGATACTTCTGGAGCCCCCTCTGGGTAATCCGAGGCCATAATCCAGGCCAAACTTCTTGGCATTGCCTCAAGACACAAGTAGTCATGGCAGCTCATGCTAAACAATTCCTTGATTGCTATCCAAGTCCTGTGTTTCATTTAGCTTGACAAGTACACGCAAATCTACTTGCAATTTCCACTCCTTGCCTTAGATAGTTGTGCACATGGTCAACTGATTTCAATGTCCAATAAAGATGTGCACAAGAATTGTAAAACATATACCTGGCCATTGTCAGTATTTCGTAGAGAGAGGTTACCTGCAAGATGCAAAAGCAAAGGTAAACTGGCTAGAAGTTGAGGCCGCCTAGCTCCATATCACTACACCACAGGCACCTCTTCATTTAAACCCTGACACACTTGACCTGGTCCAACAGTTGTTTTCGCAAGCATACCCAACCAAATTTCATAGTAGTTAAGCATATTCATTGCAGACGTAGGCGCACAGGAAAACAAAACACACACATAATATATATATATATATGTAAATAAATAAATATATATATATATATTTATGTATGTATTGCAAATGCATCCCTTTGTACTGGCTAGTCTAAGATTGAAATGGCTTTGTATGAACACCTTGTGATGGTCACAAATAAAGCTGAGGAGCATCTAAGGTTACAATGTCTGGTGCCTAAGGTGTTGCAAGCTGAAGCGAACTGACAGGCAAACATGAATAGGCAAACTATGACCCAGGATTTTTAAGGACAGGGTGTACAATCATGTAACTATATGTCGGATGTAGATTAGGTGCAGTTTGTTTTGGACCTTATGAGCTCACATGGTTGTTAGTACGGCCAACATAACTAGACTTTGAACATTTGTATATAGTCTTCTTTGTTCACTAGTGACATTATTGTCAATCATGATAAATAGTTTTAAATAGGTTTAAGGCCAGAATCAATGCCAAGACACAGAAGCTGGATGGCTGCTTTGAGGTGGCGCTGGAGGTGGCTGCTTTGGGGTTGTACTTGGTTCAGCAGCACAAGCCTCAGAATGTGGGAGTGATGTAATTTCTTGTGAAGTATGGGCAGAAGAATAAGAATGCATCACCATGGAAAACTGTCTATCTTGAACAGCTGGTGAAGAACACTGTCCATATGCTTAGGTTCACCGGAACATATGGTGACTGTCATGCATTTTTTCCATGGAAGACTGGCTATCTTGAACATTTTCACGGCATCATGCCGAAAGACAAGAAAGACAACCCTGCACAACTTCGACGTCGTCGTAGGAGGGAGACTTTTGACTGCATTGTGCAACATAATTACTTTTGTTTGTGCGTATGGCTTCTGAAGCTTTCAGCCTGCAAGTGTTCTTGGTGCCCTTTAGATTTCTGGCCACACGTTTTTGGGCTTTTGTTGACTACTTGCAGTTGCCCCAGGCAAGAAAGGTTTCAAGAAGCCTTGCATCTGGGCGGTACAGACCTCACATTTGACCCTACCGCAGCCTCACATTCGACCCTACTCCACAAGAACCGCACGCACCCTCACATTCGACCCTACCCTACCAAAAATACGCAACCCTTCCAAGAAAAAACAACATTGCCCGGTTCACATTCGACCCTACCCCACTTTTCCCGGTTCACATTCGACCCTACCCCACATGAGGCCAAACTCAAGCCGGTTCACATTCGACCCTACCTCAAACCAGCCATCCGTGAACCAAACCCCCTTGAACAATTGCATTCATTGGTATCAAATCAACCAGCCCCCCTTGAACAATTATATTCATTGCTATCAAATCAACCAGCCCCCCTTGAACAATTACATTCATTGGTATCAAATCAACCAGCCCCACTTGAACAATTACATTCATTGGTATCAAATCAACCAGCCCCCCTTGAACAATTACATTCATTGGTATCAAATCAACCAGCCCCCCTTGAACAATTACATTCATTGGTATCAAATCAACCAGCCCCCCTTGAACAATTACATTCATTGGTATCAAATCAACCAGCCCCCCTTTGAACAATTACATTCATTGGTATCAAATCAACCAGCCCCCCTTGAACAATTACACATTGTATTGGTACATTCATTGGTATCAAATCAACCAGCACCCCTTGAACAATTACGTTCATTGTATCAAATCAACCAGCCCCCCTTGAACAATTACATTCATTGGTATCAAATCAACCAGCCCCCCTTGACATTCAATTACATTCATTGGTATCAAATCAACCAGCCCCCCTTGAACAATTACATTCATTGGTATCAAATCAACCAGCCCCCCTTGAACAATTACATTCAAATCAAAACCAGCCCCCCTTGAACAATTACATTCAATCAAATCCCCCTTGGTATCAAATCAACCAGCCCCCCTTGAACAATTACATTCATTGGTATCAAATCAACCAGCCCCCCTTGAACAATTACATTCATTGGTATCAAATCAACCAGCCCCCCTTGAACAATTACATTCATTGGTATCAAATCAACCAGCCCCCCTTTGAACAATTGCATTCATTGGTATCAAATCAACCAGCCCCCCTTGAACAAGTACATTCATTGGTATCAAATCAACCAGCACCCCTTGAACAATTACGTTCATTGGTATCAAGTCAACCAGCCCCCTTGAACAATTACGTTCATTGGTATCAAATCAACCAGCCCCCCTTGAACAATTACATTCATTGGTATCAAATCAACCAGCACCCCTTGAACAATTACGTTCATTGGTATCAAGTCAACCAGCCCCCCTTGAACAATTACTCATTGGTATCAAATCAACCAGCCCCCCTTGAACAATTACATTCATTGGTATCAAATCAACCAGCCCCCCTTGAACAATTACATTCATTGGTATCAAATCAATCAGCCCCCCTTAAACAGCTGCAGGGACGTCCACTGCGACATCTTCGGGCCAACTTGCAGAAAATAATCGCGAGCGAATTGTGGTACCCCGTGGTCTGCAGATTCGAAGCTGATGCACAATACCTTGCCAGCTTCGGTTCAGCAAATCGAAAAAGGAAACCCGTACAAGCCAGCATGCATGTCTGGTCACGCGATCCTCACATTACAAACCTACAAAATATATCAAAGCATGCAAAGCATGTTTGATGTCAAGTACAAGCAGACTGCTTTCAATTTGTCCCGACTGTACATGCAGCATGCATACACAGGTGCCCTACCGTCTAGTCCCCTTTCACATGCATTTCCTCCTTTACCTGCTTTTCAATTTGCTTTCTATTGCCATCTCTCTGGCAGGCACAGCATACACAGATTGTCTCTGATTCTCACAACAAGGCCTCCACGTCAACAGTAGCCTGGGGCCGCTGCCAGTGCCAGCCTGTACCAAAATCGAGACCACAGCCATCTGGCGGTTTCACATTCCATTCCAACTTCGGGGATTATGGGGGGCATCAAAAACTCTCGTGCACTGCGTATCGTTGCTGCCACAAAAAAAGAGACCATGGGTTTTCTGCGCGCCCCCAGACCGCACGCCTTTGAAGCGAACAGTCATGGGGCTGTCGCATTCATGCTGCGGACTTGGCTTGTCTTCAACCATGCAATCTTCAATCATTATGATCATCATCATCTCCGGGACCTTTTTTTCGCGGCTAAAAACGCCACTTTCTCACATTCGACCCTACCCTAAAATGGGGGTAGGGTCAAATGCGAAACCATTGGGGTAGGGTCAAATGCGAGGCACGTACCCATCTGGGCAACCAACATATTGTTCCAGAATTGGTTCATAAAGCTTGAAGGGCCTGGCTGACTCAAGATTCATTGAGGCAGGCCAAGGCAGCCAGTGAATTGTCATTGCTACTTGGCTAAACTAACAATATCCAACAGCCATGACTCCATGGGATGTGCTCTTGCTGGCTGTGTTGCTGTCCGGCAAGGTTGGACATGGGCAATCGTTTAATTGACCAGCTGCAGCTCCAGCAACAGTATTTTGGCATAATGTGGTTCTTTTAATTGCACTCATGCGGACTTGTGTGCATATGTGCATGCCCAGGATCAGAGACAAGCAGTCTGAAGTTGAAGATATACAAAAAAAGATGCTTGGCAAACTTTCTGATCCACTAGTCCAACACAGGGCTGTCTTCGGCGAAAAGAAATATAGAAACATATGAAGTCATGACAACACAACTTCATCTCCGGCAGCAGCATTTTGATTGTCCTTGTGTGTGTGTGTTTTACAAACAGACGTGCAAACTGGACCTTAGGGATCCTTGTTGATGTTGTATGCAAAAACCTTGGCGATTGCATGTGTGTACCCAGGATGAACAGCAACCTCCATGAACAACAACGATGGATACTTGGCATATTTTTTGGCTCACCACTCCTAGTCCAGCACATTGCTTCTTTTAGCGCCAAGAGAAAAGATATGTGATGGTCTCACAGTGCAGTTCCAGTTTCAGCAAAGGTATTTGTTGTTTTTCCTTAGTGATCTTTGATGTTACAGGCACTGGCATTGGCATTTGTGTGTGTGTACCAAGGCTCAACCACAAACAGATTGAGCTTGCCAATGCCGAAGAAAGGATGCTTGGCATACAAAAGCAATGACATGTAAAGTTTTCACAATGCATATCCAACTCTAGCAGTATTCTGTTCATGTGTGTTTGATTTTTCATGCATTAGTGTGTGAAGTCATGTGAGATGTATTACCCAGTTGCCACTGAAATGTGACATCATGTTTATGATTACATACATGTTTATAATTGCATGCGTGTTTATAATTACATCGTGTCCACATCTCAACTGTCACTTCCTCATGAACAAACTGTCACTTCCAATGGCTGTGGATTATATATGATATATATATATATATATGATGTGTATATATATATGATGTATATATATATATATATATGATGTAAATATACATACATATATATGATGTAAATATATAGATATATATGATATAAGGAACTCGATTTAAACATAGTTTAAACATCACAGCCCTGGGACCCTGCGGACCCCTCACCTGGCTGTTTGGGTTGAACTTTCCCAGGCATTGGAACTCGTCGTCACCAGCTGGCGGAAGCGCTTGCGGAAGATTGCGAGTGAGAATTTGAAAAAAGATATGACAACCACAGTCATAAAGAACAAATGTGTATAAATATGTATTATAATATATATATATATATACATAATTTATTATATATATATACTTATATATATATAATTATATATATATATATAACAATGACTACAATTTGCAGGAATATATCGAAGACATGAAAATTTAGATCATCAGATTGATATCTTCCCAACGTCGCAGGCCGGCAGTAACCTGAAGTAAACCACTCAAGCTTCCGGAGTCCCGAAGCAGAACGCAGTTCAAGTGTTGTATTTTTATCCTTCCCCAGGAATCGGAACCGCAAACCTCCATGTAGTCTCCCCAGTCCCAAGGGATTCTTCACTACATAGGAAACATGCTCATGTTCAAGGACGAAAAATGCTGCTCAAAAGTGACGCAAGGCACTGTTCATGAAGGTGTATTGATATTTACCTCAGTTGCCATGCTGGAAGGCATCAGCAGCCAGTGCACCTGGAATCAAAAATTGATTTTTCACTGCGTGGTGGGGTTCAACTCGTCAATTGGTAGCCCCGATCATCCCATTCCCACCCAAAAAAATCATCAAGTTCTTTCATTCAAAAAAAAACACCGATGCTTCATCCGAAAAATCCGAAAAAACAAACTCTCGTTGCTGAATCCAAACCCCAAAACCCAGAACAGTCCGTCCATTTCCAAGGTGCACCCGGTGAGCAGCCGCCATGCATGGGTACCTTTCTGATGGTGTTACACCATGGGATTCATGGTCATCCATGCACCCGCTGGGATAACCAATGGATTGATGACAGTCCAATATCAAAAACGATCCAAGAACTCTGAAAACTATGCACATTTCTGAAATAAAAACCAAGCATTAAAAATATCGGAAGATATCATGGGGGCAGAAGTTCATACAGTATCACCAACAATATGATATGGATTTGTCTCAAAAATCGGGTATGGACCCCGAAATTGTGCTCATTTGAATGGGGAAAATGATGATAAACCGCGGGAATTTGGGTCGCCATATGTTAGAAAATTCTCAAAAGAATCGGCACATGTTATTGTCAATGGCCGCTGATTTTCTCGGGGAAAAGCTGGAAGGCCAGGTAAATGTGGGCGGCAATTTTTTGGGGGATTTTTTTTCCGTTTTTGTTTGGGAATTGTTTCCCGTTTTTTGGGGTTTGATGGTTTTGATTGGTATTTGCAGCGTTTTGCAGCTAAGCTCTCTGATTTGCATGGTGTTGTTAATGTTGTTGTTGTTGTTGTTGTTGTGGTTGGATGGATGGATGGAAGGATGGATGGATGGATGGATGGTTGGTTGGTTGGTTGGTTGGTTAGTTGGTTGCTTGGTTGCTTGGTTGCTTGGTTGCTTGGTTGCTTGGTTGCTTGGTTGCTTGGTTGCTTGGTTGCTTGGTTGCTTGGTTGCTTGGTTGGTTGGTTGGTGTTGGTTGTTGTTGTGGTTGGTGGTTGGTGGTTGGTGGTTGGTGGTTGGTGGTTGGTGGTTGTGGTTGTGGTTGTGGTTGTGGTTGTGGTTGTGGTTGTGGTTGTTGTTGTTGTTGTTGTTGTTGTTGTTGTTGTTGTTGTTGTTGTTGTTGTTGTTGTTGTTGTTGTTGTTGTTGTTGTTGTTGGTTGTGGTTGTTGTTGTTGTTGTTGTTGGTTGTTGGTTGTTGGTTGTTGGTGGTTGTTTGTTGTTGTTGTTGTTGTTGGTGGTGGTGTTGGTGGTTGTTGTTGTTGTTGTTGGTGGTGGTGGTTGTTGTTGTTGTTGGTGGTTGTTGTTGTTGTTGTTGTTGTTGTTGTTGTTGTTGGTTGTTGTTGTTGTTGTGGTTCTTGTTGTTGGTTCTTGTTGTTGGTTCTTGTTGTTGGTTCTTGTTGTTGGTTCTTGTTGTTGGTTCTTGTTGTTGGTTCTTGTTGTTGTTGTTGTTGTTGTGGTTGTTGTTGTTGGTTGTTGTTGTTGTTGTTGTTGTGGTTGTTGTGGTTGGTTGGTGTTGTTGGTTGTTGGTTGTTGGTTGTTGGTTGTTGGTTGTTGGTTGTTGGTTGTCGGTTGTTGTTGTTGTTGTTGTTGTTGTTGTTGTTGTTGTTGTTGTTGTTGTTGTTGTTGTTGTTGTTGGTTGTGGTTGTTGGTTGTGGTTGTTGGTTGTTGGTTGTTGGTTGTTGGTTGCTTGCTTGCTTGCTTGCTTGCTTGCTTGGTTAGTTGGTTGGTTGGTTGGTTGGTTGGTGTTGGTTGGTTGTGGTTGTTGTTGTTGTTGTGGTTGTGGTTGTGGTTGTGGTTGTGGTTGTGGTTGTGGTTGTGGTTGTTGTTGTTGTTGTTGTTGTTGGTTGTTGGTTGTTGGTTGTTGGTTGTTGGTTGGTTGGTTGGTTGGTTGGTTGGTTGGTTGGTTGGTTGGTTGGTTGGTTGGTTGGTTGGTTGTTGTTGTTGGTTGTTGTTGGTTGTTGTTGGTTGTTGTTGGTTGTTGTTGGTTGTTGTTGGTTGTTGTTGGTTGTTGTTGGTTGTTGTTGGTTGTTGTTGA